TTTTGAAAAAAGTTATTATATACTTGTACTTCATATTTATTACCGGATATATCTACTTAGAGTTCGGAATGTTTAGAAGTTACAACCTTATTAAAACGTTTTTTTTACAAGAATATTACTAAAATAAAACTTATATACATAAATATGACTATTGATCATTTCTATAAATTAGTGTTGTGGTAACTTAAGTTCAAAACTTAAACATGAATTATTGTGATTTCATTACTACTCTAGTAACTAGTCATATTTTTGTAAATCATCTTTATTTTGATCATATTTATGCAATTATTTTTAGGGAAAATTGCATATAATTATAATATATGGTCCCTCAGTTATCCACGAAATTAAAATCTTAGACTTGTATTTCTGATATTGTAAATGTCACTCTTCAATTGTCTAAAATGTTGTAAATGTGGTCCTTTTGAGGGGTGAAATATACAATGTGGACGAGAGTAAATTTCCCTATTTAAAGGACCACATTTACAACAATTTGGAGAATTGAGGGGTGACATTTACAATCTCAGAAATACAAGTCTGAGATTTTAAATTCGTGGATAACTGAGGGACCATATATGCGATTTTCCCTTATTTCTATTAAAACATCTCTACTTCACATCCTTATTTCATAGAGCTCATTTAGTGACCCTGTTTTTTGATTTATAACTAAATTTTCACCAAACATGTAACTTTTGATTTCGCAAGCTGAATTGATTAATAATTACAAAAAGTAAGGTTAACGTTACTTTTCTGAATGTATTGCCTGATGTTATAGTAGATGTACATTTTAGTTGTTTTTCATATAATTTTTTCTTTATTTTATTTATAAAATATGTTTTAAATATAATTTTATCATAAATCATCCAAGTCAATCAATTCAACCACTTCAACATATTTGAATTGAGTATTATCAAACGGGCTCTTAGAGTTTTTGATAGAAATGCTCTTATCATTCCATTATGATTGTTTCATCTTTTTTCATTTGGAAAAACTCTCACTCAGTCCTCATACTTTCATGAAAAAGTCAATTAGGTCCTCGTACTTTTAAAAAAATTAATCAAATCCCCGAACGTAGTGAAAACGTTCAATTGAGTCCATTTCAAGGTTACTTGTCATGTCAGCAGGTCACCCGCTGATGTGGCAACCCAATCAGCAATTGTTTTGCTGACGTGGCACACATTCAGAAGTCCAGTCAGCCATTTGCTGATGACGTGGTGCTGGTGCACACATGGACTGCCATGTGTGCACCGCGTCAGCTGGTGACCTGCTGACATGACAATTAATCTGCAAATGGACACAATTGAACGTTTTTACAAAGTTCGGGGATTTGATTGATCTTTTTAAAAGTATGAGGACCTAATTGACATTTTCATGAAAGTTCGAGAACCAAATTGACAGTTTTCCCTTTTCCCTTTGACTAGTTCTAATAAGATTTTCTCATGCTAGATTTGATAATGATTGTGTAATTGTAGATTATATTCACACTTTATTACTCCAATATCAATCATACAATTTCATTTTTGTTGGTAGCCTTTATTGGAGCTAATATAAACTTTCTTCAGCTTTCTCTCGTATCCTTTATTTTTTTCATTTGATTTATAACCCTCATTTGAGCTAATATTCTTTTTTTGTTCTTTTAAAAAAAGTCCTTTATCTACTAAAAATTATAAGTGCGAGTAGGGGTTAGTTGGCTCATTTGCCGTGTGAACAGTCCCCGATTGTTACTCCCTTTTGCCGCAGACCCACCTAACAGCAGTCTCCGTTTGTTTGCCCCGTCTTCTTCCCTCGTTTCCTATTTTTTCTGCGGCTCTCCCCCAATAAATTCAGCGACGATGCTTTCCCGATTCATTTGCTACTTCTTAGGGCGAGAAGGTCTATCATCTCTATTCTTTGCCGCCGTCCGTCTCATTCTCTGAAGATGAATTACAGGTTCTATCTCTTGATTCTCTTCCAGTCTGATTCGCACTCGTTGGTACTTTCCCCTTTTGTAGACTTTCCATCCATGCGATTCGTAGGGCTTTTGAAAGGTTAGGCTTTTTTTACAGGCTTATTCAATCGGTTTGCTTCTAGGCGATTAGGTTATCGCATCCGACACTCTCAGGCACGGCAGATTCCAATAGACGCGCTTAACTCATCGCCTTTCGCCTCTTTTTGCGCCTGTTAGAGGCGTCGCCTCTAGCGCCTCTTGGAACTGCCGCTGAACTTTCTTCAAATCTGTTCGGAATTCATACAGAGATTGATGAACAAACCCCCCGAAGGATTTACTCAGGTAAAAAGAAGAAGCAAAAATGGATGTTTGGTTATATTTAAATTCGTCTACATTTAGCATCTATGATTAATGCAATTTATGTTTGGTTTAAAAAGAATTAATAAAATGTTATGTAAACAGAAGAGTATAATTTGCTCTCACAGGTTGATACTTCCTCTGCATTTTATCATCTATCGTTAATGTGATTTATGCATACGATTTTATTTTTTTGTATTAATTAAAAATTTAACTCATAGAGGTGGGGGAAGGTTGAAATTTGTAATTTTAATCACACATCCAAGCTATTGTTTTGCATATTATTAAGGAAAAAAGAAATATTTAATGATTTTGGCATAGGATCTATTCACATTTAATGATTTATCATATGCAATTCTTTTTCAGATAACAACAGGAAAGAGTGATAAGAGTCTCAAGCTGTATGATCCGGGCTACGTCAGTACAGCTCCAGTGCGGTCATCCATATCATTTATATATGGTGATGCAGGGATTCTTAGATATAGGGGTTACCCAATTGAAGAATTGGCTGAGAAAAGTTTCTTCTTGGAAGAGGCTTATCTATAGTGTAAGTATTTTGGTTGTACATTGGGACTCTTCAAACTTTAGAAACTATTTTACTACTGTGTATAATACATGTCAGTTATGCCTCACTTATTCTTGAGGGAAAATTGGTTGCTTCGTTTGGTTTTTGCATTTCAGTGTATGGTAATTTACCAGCTGAGGATCAATTAGCAGACTGGGAGTTTGATGTTTCCTAGCATTCAGCTGTACCTGAAGGAATCTCGGTACACATGCTCCCATCTATGTGATCAAACACCAATGTCATGTTTTGTAATACCCTGCAGCCTGGTAATATTTATATGATGATTGATTTGAGGGCATCTTTTGCATTCATGGCTTATCTTTTTTAATTATATGACTGCCTTACTCATTCTGTCATTTCCTTTATCTTTCTTAATTATTTGACTTTATAAAAAACCCATCTGTGATATATGAGCACTCAATAACCAGGCATTTTGTTTGGGAAGAAATCTGAATTGCACAAAATTGACAGAGTTCGATGTCGTAAAAGAAGTAATGGATTGTTTGTTTTGGCCAAAAGGTTAGTGCAAAAAAGGAAGTGCTCCAGATTACATGTATATGGAGGTGCTACTCTTTCTCGTTCAAATTTGAACTGGCAATTTGTGTAGTGTATTCCCTATTTGCAGCCAATTAGATTTATCTGTTGATGATTGCCAATTTGGTATGCTATTTTTGTTTTAGATGGTTCATTTTATATTCAAACATAATTTTCTCTCAGTACTCCTTGAAAGTTTTCTCCAGTTGCTATTTTAAATTGCTTTTAATTTGCAAGGTCATAGGGATGCCACCAGCAGCAGTTACATCATTGCCAACTAAACTCCAGTTATGTTTGAAAATCGGTGCAGAGTAACCATCTGGCCCCGGCGCATTACAATCTCCAAATATAAAAAATTAGCATCTTTGATTTCATTAACTGTCACCCGAGCAATGAGCATATCAGCCACCCCGGGTCAAGAAGTTTACCCAGCTGTATGACCGAATCATGGAATGTGGTGGGAATGTGGTGACCGAATCAGGTATGAGAGTGAAGTCCATGTTAGCCTAATCTTACTTTTCTTTTATAGTGTATGTTTAACTAACTGATTCTCGTTTTATAATATACTTCGTTAGCTAGAATACTAATTCTCATTCTGTTGGAAAACCTCGAGGTTGAAAATATGGATCTAATATGGACAACCACATTATAGGAGCTAAAGAAAAGACTCTTAGCAGAAAAGAAATATTGGATAAGGTTGAGAAATGGATGTTTGCTTGCGAAGAAGAGGACTGACTTGAGAACTATAATTGGGTGAGTTTTACGCGTTCTTCCTTGGACCTTAGCTTGTTTAAAACATATTTAGACTGTAACCAACTAATTTTCTGTTTTGCTTTCCAGATTTCTGAAATATATGCATACTTTCTCGGTCAAAACATATTTAGTGTGTATGTAGAACAACTTCTTTTCTTGGAAAACTTTTTGAAACAAACGTAAAATTTCTGAGTCAAAACAGATTTAGTCTGTCTCTAAAACGGCTTAGTTTCTCAGAGAACATTCTGATACAGATGTATACATTCTATATCAAAACATTAGATTATACTCCATATGTAAAACAACCTCTTGTATGGTCGAATGGTTGTTTCCTCTTTCTATTTGAAATTGGTATCCCCCATTTCTAGCTTTTCCCTTTAAACAATACCTGCATGATTAAATAGCGTTGTTTCCTCTTTCTGTTTTACACTGTTTTTTGCCATTTTTTTCTTGTTTCCTAACGTTGGGCACGGATATCGCGCACCGCGCGTTACCGCGCTAGTCCAAATATATAAGTGAGTGAGTTTATGTGCATGTGCTGCACGGCTTCCGATTACACTTGAGTTATTTATCCATTATCTAATTAATTAATTAATGATATACTACGTATTTGAATCTCTTGCTATTAATCATGTTTGGAGTTCATGTTTGATTTTTGAAAATGGAGTGATTTAATTGTTAAATTGAGTATTGAGCGGAAATATTTCAAAAGAAATTGCCCGTAATAAGACTAAAACATACTTAAAAAGCCATAATAGGACTTAGCATGTTTAATTCCCCTAATAGGAGTTATACGGTCCTATGCAGACGTTTCGCAGTTTAGCTAATGTCTATATTACCCCTGTTTCTATTTTTGCTATTCGGTTGGGGGGGTTTACCGGCTATTTTCGGTTATTGCGTGTGAAAGCATTTATTAGTTTCCTTTTCCGTTTTTGATTAAGATTCTGCATAAGAATTAGTTTCCTAAATCAGTTGGGACATGATTCAATTTATTTGCTCATTCGTCGTTTTCTCCTGCATTCTTCTTTTTCCGCCATTGTTTGAAGTTGGAGTTCGTTGAGGCGGTTGAGCTGTTCGCCGTTCTGCTTTTCATTCATCTTCTTCTGCTGTTCATCGTTCTGCTCTTCGTCGTTTTGTCCTGCTTTTCATTCATCTTCGTTCGTTTGCAGAGTATGTTTGCTAAAACTTGTCATCGTTTATCGTCTTTTTTCTTCAATCATTGTTAAATGTATGTTGCAATTTCATACCTTTTACAATATGTCAATTCCTCAGTTATACACATGTAGCTATGTAGTATAATTCTTCTACAATATGTCAATTCGTTATTCATTGTATGTTGTTATTTCGTAAAACATGTCTTTTTGTATTCGGAACTGTCATGTTGTGCCATTTTGTTTGGTACATAATAATTATATATCCTTATAAACTGTCATGTTGTATAACTCTGCGTTGTTTCATGCTTATAAACTGTCATGTGTGTGTGATGTTATGCTGAAATATTTGTTTTCCTTCACTTTTTAGGAACCTTTTTCCACAATGGATCCTGTTTTATTTGTTATGGTCAAGGTGGATGGTTTTTGGGATTCTGACTTTGTGTTCATCAATGTCCACACATGTGGTCTTCATGTTAACTATGGTGTTCAATATACTTCTTTTGTTGATATGTTGACTGGCATGTTTTGTCAGTACAAACCAAATCATAATTTCAGGCTTTCTTATATGCGAGATGGATTCCCTCCTCCTGTTACTATAAATGATCAATCTAGCTTAACATTTTATCTTTATATCAAGTCTCTTCAACCAGATTTTTTAAAGTATCCTCTTTGTGTTGAGTTTTATCCTGTCTCTTCTTCCTCTGCATTTTCTGTTGATGTTGAACGTTCCATTTTTCCTCCAACTAAAAATGTTGTTATTTCTCCACAACAACTTACCACTTATACTATACCCTTCTCCTCACCTCCAACTTCTGTTGTTAATCTTTCAACTCATTCACTTTCTGTTGATGAGAATGTTGTTGATTCTTCCCAACAACATGCCTCCTCACCTGCACTCTCTTTTGATGATAGCCCATCTTTTTGCACTGAAAATGTTAACCTCTCTGGTACACACTCTCAAGATGTTGCTTTTTCTAGTAACACTGTGTCTAGAGCTGTAGAAATTGAAACGTCTGAAGACAGTGATGAAGACACAGATGACATGACAGATGGCTTAGTAATAGAATCATGTCAATCACTCTCATTTCTCCACAATTTTGAAGTCATCACACACTCCCATCCTACTTCTCTTGTTCTCTATGCTATTTACAGAAGTAAAAAAGACCTTATCCACCATCTGAAGCTCTATGCTATCACAAACCACTTTCAATACAGAACTAAGACCTCTAGGAAAATATCTTTACATGTTATTTGCTTAGATCCTGAATGTCGTTGGACTGTTCGAGCTGTAAGACTACATGGTGTAGAAATGTTTCAAATCAGAAGGTAATTCTATTTTCCTTCTTTGTTTGACTTCATTGTAAATTCTTGTTTATCAGAATGTCATGTATTGATGACATTCTTACACAAGAATGCCAAATATATATTAGTCAGTTGTATAGTAATGCCACTTTTTTGTCCTTTTAGATTCCGTCCAGAACACACATGCTCTATTGATTATAGACAAGGCAAACATAGACAGGCAACTGCTAATGTGATAGCACAACTTATTGCACACAAATACCTTGATGCTTCCAGTAAACCATACCCACCAAAGCAAATTCGTGAAGACATGAGTGTGGAGTATGGAATTTCCATGTCATACAAAAAATCTTGGAAAGCACAGAAGAAAGCAATGCAGCTCCAATTTGGTTCTGATCTTGAATCCTATCAGGTTTTGCCTTCTGATCTTAAATGCATTTTTTTGCCATTTAGTGTTTATGAGTTGTGTTTTGGCATTTTGTTTACTTTTAACTGACATATATGAGATTTGATGGCAGTTATGGTACACACTTGTTCCATTCGATTTTAACATTTCATTTACATGCATTGTTCGTTATATTTTTAGGCATTTACATCTCTCAATTTTGTTATGATCTTGAATCAGGTTTTGCCTTCTATGGCTTATGTGCTTAAGAAAGCGAATCCTGGCTCTATTTTTGATCTAGTCACAGGACAGGATGATGCATTTTGTACCTTTTTTATGTCATTCAGTGCATGGATAGATGCTTGGCCCTACTGCAGACCTGTTCTTATATTGGATGGTTCTTTCCTCAAAGGTTACTATAAAGGCACTCTTCTTACAGCTTGTTGCCAAGATGCCAATGATCACATAGTTCCTATTGCATTTGGTATTTGTGATTCTGAAACAAAAGCTTCTTGGAAATGGTTTTTATCCAAAGTCTCTCAGACAATAAAGTACAGACATGACCTTTATGTAGTATCTGATAGGCATAAAGGGCTTATAAAGGCTGTTTCTGAACTCTTGCCACATGCTAGCCACGGTTTTTGTGTTGCTCATCTGCGTCGTAACATGACACCAAAATTCAGAGGATCTGCCGCTGGTTTGGGATGGAAGTTCAAAGCTGCCTATATGGCAGCAACTGTTAAAGAATATCATGACTACTTATCCATGTTGGATTCTGAAGACCCCAGGATAAGGACTTGGCTAGAGAAACTAGGTGCTAACACATGGGCAAAAGTAATGTCTGGACCAAAGAGATATAATATTATGACATCCAATTGTGCTGAATCTATGAACAAAGTCAATGTATGTGCAAGAGAGTATTCTGTGTCTAAAGTTGTTGATTTCTTGCGTGAAAGGATGCAGCAATGGTTCACTGAGAGGAAAGAAAAGGCTGAGAAAACAAGTACTATACTCACACGGAAGTGTGAGAAACGTCTTGTAGCTTTGCAAGCTGAAGCTACACGTATGAAGGTATGTCAAAGTTTATTCTTTAACCATAAGTCAGTTCACAGATTTATTTCTCCTTATATAATTCAACTTTGGTTATCAGTATGTCATTTGGCTTTACAATCTGTCAGTTTGTGTCCTTCTATTAGTATATTGGTTTGATAATTTGTTTTTCTTCTACTTTGATATTCATATTTTGTCTATTTCCTAGGTAAAACCATCATGTGCCTATGAATTTGAAGTTGTTGATAGAAGATGCACTTCTTTTGTGGTCAACCTCAATACTAGAAGTTGTACTTGCGGCCACTTTCAACTAGATCACTTTGTTTGTGCTCATGCTGTTGCTGCAATTGCTATACGCCCACATCTGTCATGTTATACTTATATTTCACCTTATTACACTAGAGATGCTTGGCTTGCTACATGGTCTGGTATTATGCATCCAATTGCTGATCGTGACAGTTGGTCCGTTCCTGCTTCTACTCAAAACCAACGATGCAAGCCACCAACTTGTATGAAACGTCCTCCTGGTCGCCCGAAGAAATCTAGGATTCCATCCATTGGAGAATATAGAGGTTCAAAAAGGCAAAGATGTTCTAGATGTCATGTGCTTGGGCATAATAAGAAAACTTGTAGGAATCCCATTCCAATCAATACCCATTGATGTCATGGCTAATTGATTGCATCATATACTTTTAGGAATTTTACTATGTGGTTTGGAAGTAGTTGTCATTTGTTTAAATGTTCTGACATTTAGTGTTTATGAGTTGTCTTTTGGCATTTTGTTTAAGCTTAACTGACATATTTCATATTTGATGGCAGTTGTGGTTCACACTTGATGCCAGTTTGTTATGAATACATTTCAATGTCATATTTCACAGTTGATGTCAGTTCACTTATGGTTTGGCATTTTGTTTATTGTTAATTAACATATGTCAGATTTGATGGCATTTAAGTTTCAAAAAATGAATTGTTAACATGTCATTTACATGTTAAGTTGTTCCATTTCATTTCGACATGTCATCGTTCCTTATACCTATTAAAAGTTTTAGTAAACAATTTAGTGTAATATTTTTAGCCATTTGTCATTTGACATCCTAACAAATGTCAACTAAGTGTCATTTTTATGTCATTTGCATGTTGTATGTACTCAAATCTGACCCCACTAACAATCCATGCATAGATGAATACAAGTATGAATAATATGCATAATTCAATAAAATGCATTCTCATTGTCTTTAAGAAGTCAAAGAACAACTGTCAAAAAAGAAGTCAAACAACATAATTTGCTGACATTTTTTATTCAAATGAATGTCATGTTAAATGTCACTTAATGTCAATATTGTTATGTCATTTTTTGTTTATTGAATAATGACATTTTCACAGTAGATGTCATTTAAACTTTTAACAACTGTCATCCGAATGTCAAATATGTTGTAGATAAACGATCACTATTTGACCCAAAATTCAATAAAATGCAATCTCACAATGCCATGTCATAATGTCTAAACCAAATGTCATATATTCAAAACACAATGCAACTGATTGTTTTAAAAAAGTCAAACAACATGCTGTTCGAAAATAATAAGAAAGGATAAGCATAAGTTCCCAAACAAATGTACTTGATGTCATGCCATGATATTAAAAGTACTAGTACATATGAAATAGTCTTCCAACAAAAGCATCATTGTCTCTAAAGCATCACTTCATTCTTTCTGACACTGCCTTCTCTCGCTATATAGTATCAACTCAGTTGCCATTTTTTGCCTAAAGAATGGTATTGCTTCAGGATATATGGCATCCATGTCCATCCCTATCATTAGAAATTCTGCAATCTTCAACATGTACATTCCACAGTTTCCCCTGATTCATAACAACCAAAATAAAAGCACTTTCTTAAAATAATAAAGTAGTACACTATTACACAATCTGTTTAAGTAAATTTATATCCTCTTACCCATCATCTTGCTGTGGACATTCTTCTACAGGCTCGACTTCCAAAAACCTTTCGCCCATAGGCTCTTCACCCATCAATGCGTACACTTGATGATAATCCATTAGTTTGGGTAGGAGCACTGTTATGCTTGGAATATAGGATCTGATATCCCTCAGTGAATCACCTTTTCTGGCATTGGAGTTGTACACCCTTACTTTTCTCTGCTTGATATCAAGCACTAACAAGACCCAATGATGTCCAGTATTCAGAGGAAGGTACACAAAGTCTGCCTTGCTCCAGTGCAGGCTAAAGTTGTTAGAACCTATTATTTCACGCACAATGTTTTCTTCTTCTGCTGACTTGTGGTATGTGTAGTGACCCTTTGATATTGTATCAAGTTCACGCTTGACTATTTGCAAGAAAAATGGTCCAGTTGTGGTAAACTTCTGAGGCATTTGGTAATGCACCCTTTTCATCTTGAAATAGTACATTACTACCTCAACATGCTGCAAGAAATAAAATACATATTTAGCAACTAAAAGTAAACTGACTAATAATGGCATTCTATAGCACCATATATGCATTTAAAATTACACTTTGTAGTCAAACTGACAACTATATGACCATTTATACGCGTACCTTGTCAGTTATCCATTGGTGATTCATAAACAGGTCGTATAACCATGTTTTGGATTCAACTTTCATTGTGTCCAGCAAGAATGGTTTTTCAGTCATTCTGTCTTCCTCTATTTTGTACCTTCTGCCGGTTTTATTTTTTTGGAAGTTCTTCAGCAATCCAACTTGCAGGTACGCTTTCACCCTCTCTATTTCTTCAACTGGTGGGCTGTCTGTTGGATCTTCAGAGAAAGGTCCAATTATTTGCTTCATGGGTGGCAGAAATTCATCATCTTCTCTTTTCTTTCCCTTTTCTCTCCTCCTCCTCTTTGATGCATGCTCAGTTCCCATGTGCTTCACTGGTGACCTAACAACACGTTTTTGTTTGGGAAGATCCTCCTGTGACATTGGCACATATTATTTATTATGTATATGTTTATTGAAAAGGAAGTAATATACATTCAATGTGATACCACAATATGGTCATAAGCATTGCCACTTCGATGTCATTTTTAACATGTGAAAAGGACACTTGAATGTCATTTTACTGAGTTTTGGTATTTACCTGGTCAGTCTTTACTATGATTGCTCTGCATGGATTAGTAGAATAGCTCTCAAAAGCCTTTTTTGCCGCTTCATCTGCACTCTTGCACATCTCTTTGATAAATTGGCTATTGTCCTGTGACCCCATACCCCAACCAGATGCTGCAGTGTCAGTTTTATCTTCTTGTGCAGATAGCCCCTCCTTTTGCATTTGCACAGTGTCTTCATTTTTTTTCTCACTACCTTGAGACTGAGTCAATATGTTAAAAGTAGGCATGTCACAAGGTTCCTGTTCTTCAGTGTTCTTCTCTATCTCCTTACTTTTCTTCTCTTGCATTTCTTTTTCATTTTTGTCTGTAGAAAAACCACCAGCATTCTCAGTCTCTTCTTTAGAATCCTCAGCCTCTGCATCAGCATCCTTATTCACTACTAAATGGTCACTCTCAACATTTGCATCCTCTTTCTCTATACCACCATCCTCATTCTCTACAACACCATCCTTGTTCTTTATATTGCCACCCTCATGCTGTACAACACCATCCTCAATCTCTGCATTAATGCACTCAGTTTCCTCAGGCATATCAGCAACATCATCATCCTTTATCTCAGGCTGCTCATCATTCTCAGAATCTTGCCCAGTCATGGCAAATCCATCATCTTCTTTTTCATTAACATTTTCTTCTTCTTGCTGACTTTCTTCTTCATCCGTATCACCCTTTTCACTTGCTATTGTAGGCTCACTCTTCTCAACACCCTTGGACATTTTGTTGAGCATCAGAATGACATCTTTCAAAAGAGCCTCTTGCTTTTGCTGAGTCTTCTTAATTTTTTTCATTTCTGCCACTAATCTGGCAGTCTCTTTTGCTTGTTTTCTCATGTTTTTTTTCATACTCTTGCTGTCTTTGCTCATGAAAACTACATACTTCTCTCCTTCACGTCCACTGTCATTAGAATCATCACTCTCAGTTTCTTCACCTTCATCAGTCTCTTGCTCACTCGAGTCATCATCACTCTCTTGCTCCACCACAGTCTGCTTTCTTCTTTTAGAAGGTCCTGCTTGAGATTTGATTGCTCTACCAGTGCCCTTCTTCGCTTTTGTTGTTTGTCCTTTGCCTGCTCTGGTCTGCATCACCTTTTCTTTCCCTTTTGCTGCAATAGTTTTTGGCTTTTCAGCATCAACTCTGCTAACATTGTTGATGACAAGGTGCATCACCTCCTCATTTATTTCATTTCCTTCCTCTATCATAGCAATCTCATCCGCAGTTGGAACAATCTGCGTCCATTCAAACTAAACAAATAGACCATGTTAGTAAACAATGTGTGCATATAAAATTTAAAATTATACATATGAATCAGTATAATACCTTGTCATTCTTGAATATAATTTCACAAAGCACCTCCAGTGTAGGTTTCTTTTTAAATTCCCACTTTAGAGTCCTTGGCATGATGTTTTCTGCCCCCTTCATTACCTTGCACAAACCAGCTTTTGCTAAACCAGGAAATGTTTCAAATGCCCACCACTGGAATGCCACCATGAAGCCAGGGAATGTCACTCTATCTCCTTTTCCTTTATCCAGTGCCTCACAACTCTGTTTCACCTTGTTAACTAAATCCACCCAAACGTCATCACCCCATGGATAACCATTGAATGCATCCAAATCATTAACTAGATTTATGTAGTATGCCTTCATTGGTCTAGCAGGTTGATTGCCAAACAAGCAATGTGACAGTATGTATAGCAGTGCCAGTTTCACTCCATCCTTAGCCAGTCTGCTCTCATCAGTGCTCTTGTAACTCTTCAATGCATTCTGAATATCTGCACGAGTCACACTTGTCTTGGCTCCTAAATAATTTGTCCATATATCTCCCTGAAGCTCCTCTGAAATATTTGGCTTCACGGCTCCAAACTTTAAAGCACACATTATTGCCAGATCATGCTTCTGAAAACTTATGACACTGTCTTTAATGTGAAACCTGATGACACTGTTGTCTGTGTTTCCATTAACTTCAGTCACAAAGTTTCCAATTAATCCCAAAAGCAATTGTCCACTGAGCCAGGGCATGTCTTCTATTCTTAACATCCAACCAAAGACAGTATTGCTGAACTCTGTCAATTCCTCTTGGCTTAGATATGTCCTTATTTTCTTAAGAACCTCAGTAACATTGCAGTAGGAGTTGACACGTAAGTCTTCCACCATCACCAACACTGATTTCTTAAATGCTCTTGTTATTGTCTGTCAAGTTTACACAAATATAGGCATTTTAATCACCATGTACAAAATGACTAATAGAAATCACCATGTAATGTCACTTTGATACAAAATGTCACCAAATGACCTCATAAAAACTGACTAAATTGTCATTAGTGCATCAGTTCTCAATTTTTCATTCAATGTGATGCTATTTTGATTTCAACCTAACAGATATGCATACAATGTCACTACTTAAGGCAGAATGTCATGATAGTGTGCATATAAGGTTGCAATGCCAGTATAGAACACCATATGCATGTAATGTCACTTTCATACAAAATGACACCAAATGACCTCATAAAAACTGACTAAACTGTCATTAGTGCATCAGTTCTCAATTTTTCATTCAATTTACTCTGAACTCTGTTACCGTTAAACGATATGCATTTTTAGGCATTCCTATAAGAAGTAATTACATACCATTTCGGAATTGATTTTGATGGCAACTGTATTTGATAGATTCAGCTCTTTGCACTCCATTGCTTTGACCTTCAAGTGTCCTCAACGAAGCTACTTGCTCAAGTGCGCGATTCTACTTCAACTGTCGTCTAAGTAGAAGTTTTCAGAGATTGAGTTTTGAACTGAGATGAAGTTACGTCGATTGAATGCCTCTTCTATCGCGCAGCTCTCAACGGTAAGTCTCCCAACACATAGCCATTTAATGTTTGGAATCTTTTCTTTTCGGCGGCAATGATGAAACTTGGAAACCGGGAATTGCCGTAATGGGCCGGTTATAACCGTCAATGAGGTTAGCGTACGTGTGCGTCGGTTAGGGAGGTCATTTTTGGCATTTTCGTCCATAATTACTCCTACGCGAGTTGGGTGGAACTTGGGTGTCCTATTTTTGCAATTTTCATAAGGTTTAGTCTTATTTAGGTAAATTTCTCATATTTCAAAGGATCACTAGACATAATAGTTGGTCGCCTTAACAACTACCCTTTCCCTTATACGAAGCATATGACTTGGGCTGAAATTAAGGGGAAGGGGAAAACCCATAATCCAAACCCAACATAAGACTATTTGTAGTGGTTGAGTATTAGGAGTACAAAATGTAAAAGAAGGAATTTTTGGACGGGCAATTCTAAATGCAGCCCGTCTTTTGCTAAACACAGCCTCTTGTTGAAATACGTTGGATGAATTTTACAAACTTATCCTTTGACAAAGATTAATTCTTTCAACTGCTAATGCATAGCCACACGAATATGTTTCCCGTGAATAGGAATCAACTCCGATCCTTAAACGACGCTCAACTATGAAGGTGGACATACGGAAGCTATGGTGGCGGTGGAGGCGGCTATGGAGGCGGCAAGCCTATTTTAGGAGAGAAAGGTAGTATCGGGGTCGGATCTAGTCTGCTACGAGGTAGATCAGTCCACCCCCGTGTCCTCCAGTTGCTTACCTAGTACCCGCAATCCAGCTTGGCCGTCCTGCCATTTCGCTGCTCGGTAAATACAATAAAATCCAGCCACCCGATTTAGTTCATCGTCTGGAATACCCTGCCGCCCGGCATGTAGTGCCGCTCTGTTTCAATCGCCGGACATATCCGCCCGGCACGTTACCCCCACTAAGACCCAATCGCCGCCTAGCGGATTTGGAAAAATGTGGCCGTCGGCCCATGCGTGCTCCGTCCAGGGGGTTTATACTCCTAAAAGCAAACAGGGGACAAGAACTGTGCTTCAAAATAGATGTAGGCTAAGAACAAAGAAAAAGAAGTGATAACATGAGAGATGATGGGTTGATGAGCAGTGCCGGTATGGGGAGAGGAAAACGATGGGTTGACAAAGTAGACAGAGGGGAGGAGGAAGACGATGGGTCGATAAGCAATGCAATTAAATGACTAGCTAGGGATAAAATAGACATTCTATTTATATTTAATTATTAATTATTTTTTATTAGGGCTGTGAATAGCAATTATGTAGCTGCATTTAGAATTACCCTTTTTGGATTCCTAATTCCATGTAGTGGTAGTCCATAATAGGTAGTAAAAATGGAAAAGGGGTGGAGGGGAGT